ATATTGTAATAAAACTTGATTCGGGTAGTTCATCTTCATCAAATGTCTCTACTTCACAGAGGTTTAGTAAAACTTGGATATCGTCTGTAAACACGAGGAATAATATTAAAGTAACTGTTTGGAAATACTGTTAAATTTTGTTTGATTCGATTCGCATAAATAATATTACTATTCAACGCGTTATTCTGAAACTCGATCGCGTTGATTAATTACCTATATAATCTAAGGGTAATGCCTCAAAAACATTAAGTGGACCAACACTAATGGGACGAGTATACGATATTTATTTTTAATAACATTTTAAATTTTAATAAAATAAATAAACATAAACATTCTGAAAAATATTTTAAACTCATGGCAGCCTTTGGAGAACAATAATTTAGTTTCAAGGAAAACAATTACAAATCTTATTGATCATTGATTATTATAAGTACTTCAGAAGTATTTTTCGTTATATCGACAAGAAAAAATGTGTTAAATGGCAGACTTAAGCTGGTACGCCTTCCAGACGCTATCGTACGAGTTTTAAAAATGGAGCGTTTAAACGCCGAAAAACAAAATAGTAATGTTTGCACACAATCGCACACACTATTGCGCAATCGTACGCGTTCGGATGCGTTTTTGAAACGCGTACACTAGCGTCTGAATGATGAGGTTTGTTACCAGCTTCACAGCAACTATGTTGATTTACGAGAAACGTGCACGGAACAACAGGTATTCAAAACATTTCACGCCGTAACTCCGTTATTTTTAGTACATTACCTCGGTTTAATAAAAATATTTGTACAAATTCTATCGTTTCCTTTCTCGCTATTTCCGGTAACGCTAATTCTCATGAGATAAATTCGCGTGCTTGTATAGATTGGTCGTGATAATAGTTTTACAATCATAATGATTTCGCTAGAAGAGCATGAGATAAGAAGATCTGATTAAAAAATACGTAACTGCCTTAGGTGGAGGGTCATACTGGAAGGAACTAGCATCCAACAAAGATGATTGAAGAAAAGGATGTTTGACGGGACGATCCTAGTGGCTGTTTGCCCGAAAAATTAAAAAAATAATTTCGCTGGAGTGTGAACGACGAACTACAATATTACAATTTTGTGAAATCCGCATGAAAATCGGTTGCGGGCACGAATGTATCTGAATTGCCTACACGGAACGCCGTGTATTGTGCACAGTACGCAGATTTTTCTAAATTCTTTTTCTCAGCGGCGTTTAATGTCATTCGTTTTCTGTAACCATTCGCGACCATATACTTCAATGACTACAGTGATCGCGCATACTAATTTTCATCGTGTTTGTGAGTGGAGAACGGCACTCGATAATAGTTCAGTAACCCCAGTACTCGTTACGGCCCACAAATAATACAGTGCTACGGAACAGGTGAAGTTGAAGTGGGCTCAGTGGATACACTATTAATGTGCACGTATCCACTAGATCAAATGTCTATCATATGGTTTAATGTACGTATACAACGTACGCTACTGGGGACGAGGGTTAGATAAGGAGTCGCATTGGTAGTGGTATTATTTTGAGGATTTCATTTTTTTATTATTTCGATACGGAACTACAGTAAACGATTTTATCGGATAATTTTTTATCTTCCTCCATGTCATTTAGTTAAAATTTTATTTTATGAATACTCCTGAATTTAACTAAGATATCTTAATCAAGCTTGGTTTGTAAACCAAGGCGTGTTAATATTGAGCTTAAATTCTCGTGAACAAAAATTCAACGGCTTCGTTTCAACGTATTAATTTTTTCGCATCATCAATCTAGATCATTATTTTTTTTTTTAAATCTATAATTATCGACGCAACTATGATAAGATTATTTTTGATCCTGTCCGAAGAAAAAATAAATAAATACAGCTATGCTATAATATATGGTCAATATCCTTTTTGATTCGACGTCAATGTGCCTTTATTATATACCTTATTAATTTACATATCGTATAAAGTCAACATGTCATTCTTGCAGTATTAAAACGTTAAACATATATTTTTTTTTATTTAATCAAACGATTGGAAAGCCATACTTAGCAAGTTGATTAATTGAGTACAAATGTCAAGTGATTAAGGAATAACCCTTGTGATTGCCTGACTTCGTGTTACTGTTGAAAATAATTCAACACATATGTTATTTCATGTAAATATACTGAAGTATAAAATATGAAAATTATAATTTATTTTATTTTTCTTTGTTTGAGGTTCTCAGTCCATTTTTTCAACTTCCTATTTGTAGGTTCTGCGTTCATTTTTTTAAGAAGTTACTTGTTCTGCAGGTTTGCCTGGTTTAAGAAGCATAACCATTGTTTGGGAAAGTATTCTATATGTAAGATGGCGTTATAAATATGTGTTAAATGGATCATAGGTTTCTTAGATAACTCTTTCAGGATTTTTGGGTTAATCTGGTCGTACCCAGGTGCCTTTTTTGGGTTGATATTTGTATCGATTTCTCTTGCGATTTCAATTAAGGTGAAGTGTTTTATATTTTCGCGTGTTTCATTTTATGGTGGATATTGTATTACGTCAAGCTCGAAGACGATGAAATTTGGCTGGAATACACGTTTTTAGTGGCGTGCTTACTTACCAGCTTCGTCTTGGTCACTGCGTTCCCATTATCTGTTTTCCTTGCAAATTGGTGGTACATAAGCTCTTAGCATCTTCATGCATCTTGTAGTTTTCCATAATGAATAATCAGAGTTATTCTCCGCAGAAAGTTCACTTAAGTAAATTTTGAACGTTTTATTTTTAACTTCTTTAATTTTATTGTGTAAAAGTTTGCTAATGCGGTTCCAAGAGGTTTTATTCGATAGATTTTTCATTCGGTACCATATTTTCCATGCCTTACATTTTCGTTTAACTAGTTCCCTAATTTTCATTGGGTAAGTAATTTCCCATTTACTTTCTGTACGTAATTCATGAGTTGCCTCTGTTGCCGCTTTTACGATGTTATTAGTCAATTGTTCAACTGCGCTATCAATTTCACAAGGTTTTTTTAATTTTACTGAGAGACTTATGGTCTCGTAAAAATTCACTCTAAAAAGGTCCCAGTTTGTTTTCTTGTTTGTTAGCAGCGTCGTACGATTCTTGTGTATAATGTTTGATCTTAACGTGAGAAGCACTGGTATGTGATTTGACGTTAAGTCTATTAGTTCTAGTACTTCTGTATAATTAACAGATATACCTTTCATTATAAAAAAGTCAAGTAGATCAGGAACCTTGTTCTGATCAGTTGGCCAATACTTTTGATTTCTTGTAGAAATAATTTCTGCATTTATGTTATTTGCAACTTTTAGTAAGGCACGACGCTTTGGGGTAATCAGTCTTGATCCCCAGTGTGTATGCTTGGCATTGTAGTCACTTCCAACGATTAGTCTAGAATTAAATGTATGAAAAAATTCAGTAAGCTTTATTTCATCAGTTCCTCCTTGTGGAGGCAGTATATTGCGGCAATGATGATTATTAATGCTAACGCTTGTTGCTTGTATGTAATTTTCAGAGTAACTTTTGAATTCATATTGCTTTATGGACTTTTTTGTTATTACAGCAGTACCACTACGGGCTCTACCGCTGGGATGAATTGTTGTATATGTTCTATAATTTCTTATTTTTAGAGAAGTCCACGTTGTGAAGTGAATTTCAGAGATAAGAACAATGTCAATTTTATCACTATAGAATAGGTCTTCGAGTTCTTGTTTATCCTGTACCAACCCATTGGCGTTCCATGCTATGATACGCAGAGTACGGTTCATTTCTTTTTTTTTCAGTGAGGTATTTTTGGACTTGGTCTGTTTTGTTTCCAGCTCATCCAATCTTGCAGTGATATTTGCTAGTGTTTGTGTTACGTTGTTTAACGCAGCTAGAATTTCATTAAGAGTCAGTTCAACGTTTTATTTTGGTAGTTGAGGTGCTATTGGGTGGACTTTTGATGTACTATCTATTTTCGCGTATGAAACATTTGAGGTGACAGGTTTAGCAGATTTTTGTTGTATTCTTTGCATGGCAGAGACTTATTTTGGATGTATTCTTTCTATTGCTTACTTGTAAGCAGAGCAAACTTTCCAGTTGGCGGTGTGGTTTCCATTACAGTTGGTACATTTTGCTTTTGTCTTTTTAGGTTTGGGACAATCTTCAGTTCAGTGTCCTTCGCTACATTTGATGCATATGGCTGTTACAATAATTTTTTGTGTGTCTGAGAGCTTGTCAGTTTTTACACTGCGGGACTTCTTAATTTTTGCGTGGGGTTTTATTTTTATTATATGATGGAATAGTAGTCTTATGCTGTATATCTGTATATATAAAAATTTCGTGTCACGATGTATGTTCGCGATAATCTCCGAAACTACTGGACCGATTTTGATGAAATTTTTTACACCGTGTGTAATTTGGTCCAACTTAAAATATAGGATAGTTTTTTTTCAAATTTTTTAATATTTTAAATATTTTAATTAACTTTTTAATAAATGTGTATAATTGCATGGTGTATTTCGGGTTTTCCCGTGACCGACCGCGACAGTATCTATATAGCTACCTGTAATCTGACCTTTTTTCTATTGCGTGTGTTTTATCGTCGGCGGCGTGTAGATATGAATTGTTCCGAGAATTATATAACTAACCTAACCTATGGTTTTTATCTCAATATTATTTTTTGCATTGCAATTATTGTAATAAATATATAGGATAGTTTTTATCTCAATATTATTTTTTGCATTTCAATTGTTGTAATGAAGAAAGTTATAAAATGCGAAGTTCGGTACGACGTATTCATCAGTTAATATAAAGCGCAACAATCTGACCGAGTCAGTCATTATCGAGTTAATCGCGCCGTCTCGAGTTTTGTTTATTATTTTTATTTATACTGTTTAATTTGTATCGGTTTAGTGTTTTCGTATTTTACTTTACCTACACACTAACCATAAATACTTGGTATTGTGTTATTATTGTGCAGTGTTCAGTATTGAATATTCTTTAATTTCTTTTAAATTTAGTATAATGCCGCGGAAATCTAACCTACACAATCAGTATAGTAAAAATGCACGACGTATGCGTGCTAATAGAGCTCATGAATCGGAAGAACAAATTGCAGCAAGAAACGCAGCTCAACAAATCAAAACAGCAGAAATTCGCAGACAAGAGTCTCGAGAACAGCGTGATGAACGTCTACGACAAAATATATTGAGAACAAGATCGGCGCGAGAACGGCACATAGCCACATTTAGAGAACTTGACAGAGAGCGACAACAAACCAACCGTGCATTAACACGTGCATCATTCGTTCGCCTTGCGTTCGAATATGCACCAGATATCAATTACTCTGCACATACTAAAATTATAATTGGTGCAATGGATAAAATATGCCAATATTGTCAAGCGTTAAAATTCCGCAATGAAACGATTGGTATGTGTTGTGCATCTGGAAAAGTTGTACTGGCACCTCTTCCTATTCCACCGGAACCTTTAAAATCATTTCTTGCTGGCGAATCAGACGATTCGAAATTATTTTTACGTAAGACACGCAAATTCAATTCTTGCTTCCAAATGACGTCCTTTGGCGCAACTAAAATTTGCGACCTCACATCTGATGGAAATAATTTTGTAACTACGTTCAAAATCCAAGGCCAAGTGTACCACAAGATTGGGTCATTAATGCCAATGCCTAATGATGATCCAAAGTTTCTCCAAATTTATTTTATGGGCAGTTGTGAGGAACGCGTAACAACTCGGTGCCTGCATAATTTAATCGAACAAGCAGAAGAGAGAGCAATTGTGGAATCTTTGGAAAACTTTTTTGAAAATTATAATCAACTTATCCAATTATTTAAAAGAGTATCGCCTCAATTAAGAAATGATAATTATCAAATTGTCATCAAAGCCGACAAAGTACCTGCAGGAGAATACGCTGGAAGGTTCAACGCGCCAACCGTAGATGAAGTTGCTGTTATTATGGTTGGTGATCCAGTTAACAATTGAGACCTCAAAATCATACGTCGAGACAGCACTGTTCATATAATTTCAGATCTTCATCGTTCGTATGACGCACTTCAGTATCCCCTAATATTCTGGCAAGGGCAGGATGAATATCACATCAACATCAAACAGCGTGATCCAATCACTGGTACGTTTAGTAATCTATACTATTTAATAAATTATTTTGGTGATTTTAATTTCTTACTCTTAATTTTTATAACCATTTAATAACTCATTTTTTTTTAGGTAATGAAATCAATAAAAAAGTTAGTTCAATGAACCACTACGCGCATCGATTGATGATTAGAATTAATCAAGATAATTATATCCTTCGATATCGTCAACTATTCCATCAATACGTTGTGAATATGTTTGCTAAGATCGAAAGTGAACGTTTACGGTATATTAGATATAACCAGGCTAAATTAAGATCAGAAGAATACATCCATTTACGAGATGCTATCACCGGAAACATCGATAAAAATTTAAACGCCAATGACATCGGAACTGCATGTATTTTACCTTCAAGCTACATCGGCAGTCCACGGAGCATGCAGGAAAACCATCAAATCTCTTCGTGTTAGCGAAAGACAGGTTAACCAGGAATGTTGTACACAAAGTAGTACTTAGATAATTTTTAGTTTTAATAATTTAATTAATTTTTGTATGTTTTTAATGTATATAGTATATTTTGTAAGTAGGTCACTGATTACAAACAATAATTTAATATAAGATGAATAAAATGTAAATTCAGAAAATATATATGTTGGTTTGTACTTAATTTCAACATTTAGATACTTTATCTATTACTTTTAAATTTTCTCATACATAATAACACTGATACATGGCCTACGAAAATGCCAAAAAACCAACTAATACGCGGGCAACGCCGTGTCGGGACAGCTATCTTTATAATTCTCACGTGGTTTTAATTCTACAAAAAAAATAATGGTAATCTTAAGTGTGTCCTGTTTCACTATTTTTGTTGTTAGGGTCAGATTTTTTCTTGATCTGAATGTTGGTTATATTTATTACTTCGTAACCTTGTTCGTACAAATCACTTGTTATTATTCTCAAATATGTCGTGATTTATACCTCGTAAAAACTACCCGACATGGTTTTTCGCTTTTTAATTGGTATCGATAGTATTCAACTTTATTTTTTATTGTGTTTCTAAATTGGTTTTCATTTGTTGCTAAGATTTTTGTCTCGCCGTTAGATAAGACTTTGAATTTTTGTTCGTCTCCTGTCGGTTCTTCACGCGTTGATAATTGTTTCAACGTACCAAAATGTTAGATAAAAAAACCTTGATAGTTATTAGTGGAGGTTTGTATTTTTTTGAGTATTTCCATTTTTAATAGTTGGGTTTTTATTAATTTTTTGAGCCACTTTTGCAGCTAAATTAACATTATTTGAAATCGGTATGTTAGAAGTAGAAGTTTGTTCTAGGTTTTTATTTATTTTCGTATTTAAATCCAACGCTTTGGTTGCCAGGATCAGTTCATTATTCTTTATTTGTAGTAATTTTTGAACTTGCCTGTAATTCTGCTACTTCACGGTGAAGCGTTCGTTGGTGTGTTTAAATTCAGTTAAAATATTTTGCAATTCTGCATATGTCGGCAAATCTGGGAATTTCATAGCTATGCACTGTTGCCTAGTCTACTTAATATATTGTTAGTCACTTACCAATGTCTAGTGTGCATAGTAAGCATTTTGAATGATTCATTCGGTATTGGGATAATATATCCAAGGAAAAAAATATCCTGTAATAAAATATCCTAGTCAAATTATCCCTGGATAAAATATCCAGGGATAAATAACCAATATATAAAAAAAAAAAAAAAAAAAAAAAAAAATTATAAAAATCTGTATTATTAATACCTGTATAATTTTTTTTATTTAAATACATTATTGTTCATTTTTAGATCACACTAATTGACCCGAAAAACGTTGTTTTATTATATAAATTACTTCTAGAGAATATTTTGTTAGAAAAAAATAACTAATTTAATATAAGTGTGTAAGGATGTTATTTATAAGTGGAAGAAGTATGGAGTGCTGTGAACGGTGAAGAAGTACAAAAAGGAAAAAATATCAAATATTTATTTTTCTAATAATTTATTAAAATTGATCCTTTAAAATTATATGTATCGCTAATTATGACAATATTAGAAAAAGTAATATCAATCCCTTAATGCAACATAGTGTACAATATTTTTTGCTATCCCATCTTTCGCTAACACAAACAAACTGGATGGTTCAAGAGCACGCCACGTATAATTGTCCACGTGAAACACATGATGTGTTCAAATCTAAGCCACAGACAGAGATCGTTTGGCCTTGAGACTTATTGATAGTCATTGAAAATATCAATCTGATTGGAAATTATAGGCGCTTAAATTGTATTAGCACATCTGTAGGTATAATAGGGATTCGCGGTAATAATATATTTTCACCTCGGAATTTGCCATTTAAAATGATGGCTTCGATAAAATTTTTCATTAATTTTTTAATGACTAATCGCGTGCCATTGCACAACCGTGGTAAGTTCAAATTACGAAGCAAAATAACTGGAGATGCGATAGCCGGATAATTCACCGCGGGACAATTCACCGCGTGACTATTCACCGCAATACAATTCACCGGGTGTACAAGATCCAACCTTCAATTGTAAATTATGTAGTGGCTTGCCTGTTAAATCCAATGATTTTAAAAACTCTGTTGGATTACAGCTTCAGTAGCAAACTGTATCAATAGATTTGTATGACACCAAGTCTCCTGATAACAAATGTTGTATCTTGAGATTCAATTCCTTGACGTCCACATTTTTTTTCTGCTAAAATTGCTCTTTCTGCCAGCCACTCATGATTTGTGTATTGTCTGTGTACATTGGGAAATATCTGGTCAATGAGAGCATCTTGCGAATCAATGATTGTGCAGAAATCGGTCGGTAATTTTATGCATCCCGTTTCATCTGTAGTAACTTTCCCATCACCGATATCTAACAATTCTTTTGAGAATCTTTTGCATACAGCTTTTTTTTTGATTTAATCGCTAGTATCGAAATCATTCGCTCTTTATCTTAACAGACATGTTGACCATGAATTGTTGACAAAGCTCACGACATCCTAGAATAACGTTGTCCTGATCGCGTCTAATCATCAACCGATAATGCATAATAATCCTTCGAACTAATATTCTTGTTTGTTTTGGCACTTGTTGCAGGATCTTATTATTTAATATTTATGCAATATCTGTCATTTAAGACCAAAAATAAAATTAATAGTTTTTAAATAATTTTTAATAGTTTTTTAATAGTTTCATTTAATAATTCATTTTCAATTGCGCAGTCATCGACCGGATCAAAAATTATTAAATTAAACTACGATTTATTAAACAATAACAGTTTTCCAAAAAAAAAAAATTTCATAAAAATCTTCTCCTGGAAATTATGAATAATTAAAAAAAAATTTGAGCCAAATCGGCCCAGCCGTTCTCAATTGATGAAATGTTATACATTTTTTGCTCCATTTTATATATATATATATATACATAGATTTTAATAAAATTTAAGATTAATAATACTTTATAATATAGTTATAAAATAATAATAATAAAAATAATATGTAGTATTATATAATAATTATATATTTAGTTTTATGTAGTGCGTTACAACGTAACATAGTTTTATGTTTACTAATATTATTTTATCACTATATTATAAAATATTTAATAATGTTAATTTTGATTTAAAAATGAACAATGTATCTAAATAAAATATAAATAAAAAAATAAAAATATGATGTACATATATACAGATTTTTATAATTTTTTTATTTGGATATTTTGTCCTAGATTTGATTCATTCAACTCACTCATCATCATTTTCAAGATTTCCTTCGTCTAGTTGGTAATAAAACTGTTATTTTTTCGTAGTTCCAAAGATATTATATAATTCCATAGATTGCATATAATCCATAGATTATATATAATTCCATAGATTGTTTAAAATTCCACCGATATCATATACAAATATATATATTATATATTATACAAATAAATAAATAAATAAATAAATAAATAAATAAATAAATAAATATCATATAATTCCAAATATATTATATAATTCCATAGATTGTATATAATTCTAAAAATATTATAGAATTCCATACATTGTATTTAATTCCATAGATATTATATAATCCACAGATTATTTATAATTTCATAGGTATTACGATCATTTATATATTTTAATAATTTGTTACTAATTGAGTACTTTAATACGTGTTATTATTTGTTATATCCGTTTATATATAATATGGTCGATGATAGTAGGGGTACCGTAATGGCAACAAGAAAAATAAATAGGAAATTAATAAGAAAAATTAATCAATAAGGAAGGAAATATTTTAATTTACGACCGGCCGTCCAACACAAAGTGTGATCTTCAATATCTGTTTATTTGCTATCGCGAATTGCTTAATCGGAAATACCTGTGCGTATAATGTTTTATTCTGTGTCGCGTTAACCATACGTATATGGGAACAGTTGTCGAGTTTTTTTTAAGTCTGTACATTATATTTTATATTATTGTCTTTGTATGTAATAATAATCACAAGTAATATTATTATTATTATAATCAACACCAGCATTGGAAAGCTTATATTATTATTTTATGTGACCGAATCGCCGTGTTGCATTGTAAACATTTTGATCAGGTGCTAATCGCCACTGTTTTAGATATTTCAACGGGTGTGAAAAATGTACTCATATTTGTTGTTGTATTTTTATTATATTTTTGTTAGTGTGAGTGATTATTATTCATTCAGATTGTATGCAGCCGAAGTACGCGCTTCTCTGACTCGTAAGTTTTTATCATTGTCGCTCGAACTTATCACTATACAGGCCTAGGATCAATGATGATTCATCCAGAAATCCGTAATATATTTAATTATCATCGAATCATCGTTTCACCATTTATTTCACTTACCACTTTTCAACTGAATCTGTAAAAACAAAATATGTTCACTCGCATGCGCGCACACATACATGCATTTTTGCACCACATTGCCAGCTGGTGTATGTACGATGAACCCGACCAACTTTAAGTTGAACCATAACACCGATCGGCTATACAAAGGTCGGTCGGTGGTGAGTGGTAAGCACATTGCGCGAAGTACAGTTAATATCCAGCTGGGCGTAACATTATCTTATGGACCCCTTATAATTAAAGTTTACAATATTTTTCCAACCTTTTTAAATGAAAGTATGCAGTAGTTATAGAAAGTTTACCTTTTGAATAACCAACAACATTAATTATTGTGTCGGTCACTTTTCATTAAAAATCAAATAAAGACGCTAAATGACATTTTTTTTGAATATATAGCGTTGGAACTACAATTAACTATACGTGTTCTCGTACGGACTATGACTTGGTATTTCTGTTATACTGTTTCGTTTAATCAACAAAAATCGTGAGAGCCGTGTCATTTATAATACACCATCCCGTCTAATATCACAAAGACGAAAGAAATACTCGATTTTAGTAAATACCGTTTTTCGATAGAACACCTACGATGTATTA